GCCACCGGCGTTGTCCCGCTGGGACGATGATAATAAATCAACCAGAGGGGTTTCTCGGGACGGGAAATTTAACTGCCAAGGACATAATGGGCTGGTTTATTACAAAGTTTATCACAAACCCACGGGCGGCTTCCTCGGGCACTGCCTGCTTGGGGCGCGGCCGCAGCAGACAGACACAATACCCCCTCACCCCCTCCATGGCAGAGCCCCACGCTCAATTCAAGCCAGCTTTTTTCAAGTCCTCCGGCAGAACTCGGCCTTTCTTCCGGGCCCTGGCTTTCTTCTTCTCTATCCTGTCTTTCTTCTTCTTCTGAATGTTCTTGCAACGCTTTTCCTGCCGCTGCTGCATCTTTTCCACCACTTTTTCTGTCCGCTTCTCCCACTGCCTCTGGCGCTGCGCTTTGCGCTTCTCCTTACGCTTCAGGGCTTCTTTCAGGCGCTCCTCGTTGTCACGAATCTTGACACCTTCCGCCTTGTAGAGCACATTTGTCCATTTCATCTTGTTCTCTAGCTCCTGAGCTTTCTTCTCGTCCTTATCCTTGAGTTTCTCCAGCTTATTCCTCCTGGTCTCCAGCCTGCTCAGCAGCTGCTTGTAGTTTTTGCCTGTCAGAGGAGTGATTTTGCCTTTCACTGCTTTCCTCTTCTCTTTCTTTTTCTGGATCTTGCTCAGCTCATTCTCTTCATGGACTTCAACCCTGTTGAAGACGATTTCAGCTTTGCTCTCCTCCTTTTTGCTTTCTGGCTCTACCGGTACCTCCTCAGTTTCCTTCTTCTCCATTTTTGCCTTCATCTTCAACTCCTTTCTTCGGCGCTTCTTTCTCTCTCTATCATATTTCCTTCGCTGCCTCTTCTCCAGGACTGCAGGGGGCAATTCTCTGGCATCATCCTAAGAAGGAGGATAGACATGAATCAGGAGCCTTACAGGGATAAATCAGAATTAAAAGTGGGATGTCCTCAAGTTCCCAATTTCAAATGTCTCACAAGAAATGGGTAACTTGTGACAAGGAGTTGTGGGCTCAGCGTTTAGAGACACTAAAGGTGTTTCAAACCACTTACTCTCTCTCAACACCCTATAGCTATGCTCCCTTTCAGGTTCTTAGTGCTTTTCCTACTATGGATCACTGGGGGCACTGTCCCCTTGGCCAGGCTCTGGCTCTTCTCACGTACCACAGAATACGTGCTGGTCTCCCAGCAACACCCCTGGCACTTCCTGAGAGGACAGGCAGAGCCCAAACCCTGAGTCTTGTCCCCACACCCTCGGGATGCCAGGGAGAATGCCTACTCCATTAACACACGTATAGATAAACGTTAAAGAGTTCTCATACTTGTCCAGATGCTTTTTTAATCTTCTCATGCAGTCTCTGACGCAAGAGATTCATTGCAGAAAAGGAAGGGGAACCCAGTTCACTTTTGCTCCCTGAAAACAAGAGGAAGAAAATAGAAATACTTAAAAGACAGCACTAACTAAGCAGAACTTTCTGTGGCTATGGGAAAAGCTCTGAGAACTCTTCAGATGCTGTGAACAGAATGGAAAATCTAAACAAGCCAAAAGGTTTTATTTCATTGGTGTCTTTAGAATGAATTCCCCTTTTTCTACCCATGTTATCATTTGGACACGGCCTGGCATGTCCTGTGGTTGTCAGAGGACAAGTACCGGGCTGGAGGAAACTAAGACGCTGAGGATACGCTTTCTTTGTGACCAGGCTTTTCAGGTTGTCAGTGGAAAGCTGGGCTGGCACGACAGAGACTGCAGCAGAGACTTAGCAGATACACTAAAAGGGCAGCTCAGGTTAAACGCGTTTTCCCAAGAGCCACCCAGTGGCGACATTACGAATTTCTGTATGTGCACAGCAGCTTTCAGGGCACATGAAATAAGCAAAGATGTTTTCAAGTCAGATGAACTTCTTAAAGACTTTCCGAATTACACGTGTGTGAAGCAACCGAAAAGCAGCCACCTCAGCTCAGGGCACTTTAACCTGACCACGGCAATGCTGGCATTCTCACCTGTGACCAAGCTCTCATTTCTGCTCTGTGCAGCACTGTCTGGAGATGCTTGGCTGGCCTGAGGGGCTGCCCTCTGTCCTGGAGCAGGTTTGCTCGCATTAGAGACTGCCTGTTTGCCTGAAGGAATGTTCACCTTCTCAGCTTGCTTCCTGGGTTTCTTTCTCTTCTTTTTCTTGAGCTGCCTGCCAGCATCCTCAGACTGCCCTGGCTGAGGCACTAGAAGGCAAAACCAAACCATGCAAACCAGGACAACATTCCCACCTCACAATGACAAGGTATTACTGAATACTAAAGTTCCAGCATTTCAATAGCACATCTCAAGCTTTAAAACTTGCATATTATAGGGTTTATTTAAATAGCCCGATAGTATGTTTGTACACTTCTGTAAAGCCCCAGTTCCCCCACATTGAATCGCCAGGCGTATTAAGTGAGCAGGGACCACCGCTCCCCCGGATAACACTGCACAGTCGCAGCACAGATTACGGGGTTTGTCCCTTACAAACCGGCACAACAGCCTCCCCTGGGCCGAGCGCCCGCGGAGAGAGGGGAGGCTGCGAGGAGCCCGAGACCCGGCCCGGCGCGGCAGAGGATGAACCGTTATGGCTCCGTTACCGAGTTTCCTCTTCCGTGACTCCGGCGCCGGCTGCGCGCGGACCCTCCGCGCCAGGTCCTGCAAGTACGAGTCCTGCGCGGCCAGGCTGGACATTG